CCTCAAACTCTTGGGCTTAAGTGATTCTCTTGCCTCAGCCTCCTGAGCAGCTGGGACTACAGGCACCTGCCACAATGCCCAGCTATTTTTTGGTTGTAGTTGTTTGGCAGGCCCAGGCTGGATTCGAACCACCCCCTTCCGGTGTATGTGGCCAGCACCCTAGCTACAGGCACCAAACCAAAGAAGGAATATTTTAATAACCTTTTCTGATAACTACCACTATTTTTCATTGACATTATGCTAAAGCTCAACCAGTGATAGGTTATTTTTTTTCTTTTCTTTTTGAGATAGTCTCACTCTGTTTCCCTGGGTAGAGAGCTGTGCTGTGGTGTTATAGCTCACAGCAACCTCAAACTCCTGGGTTTGAGTACCCACTGAGCTACGGGTGCTACCCTTTTAAAATTATTTTTTATAGACACAGGGTCTTACTGTGTTGCCCAAGCTGGACTCAAACTGTTGAGCTCCTATGATCATTCTCCCTCAGACTTCCATGCAGGGTAGCTACAGGTGTGTGCCACTGTGTCCATCCCCAGCTGGCTTTATTACCCCCACTCTGCCACCTTCTCAGGGACAGCTTATTTACACAATCAGTGCCATCCCTTAGGACCCTTAAAGATGTAAGTCCCAGACCTTCTTAACTCAAGGTGCTGGGAGTGGGCTCCCTCATCTTGTGTTTTGACAAACCCTCAGGGGCTTCTGACTGGTGAAGGTTGAGGACCCTGGACTAGAGCACTGACATTACTTTCATAACTTCTTCTGCTGCCCCTTGCTTGGGCTCTGGGGCAACTGGATGTGCCAGTGGGGCAACAGGCTTCTATCCTAGGTGTGCTTGCCCCTCCCCACCACAGTCAGAGGGGTGAGGAGACCCTCATCTGGGGGAAGATTACAGGTTTCCCCTCCTGGAGGGCCTGTCCTTGTGCACCAGGATGCTGTACCTGGTCCCTGCCTCTCATAGCCTCTGGGCGGCTGTATCAGCATTTTTTAACTTAGAGACCCTTCCCCTTGGGCCCCCAATTTTCTGCTAAATTTTCCACTCAGTAGCCCTGGCTTGTCTTTTGTTCTGTCTTCAGCTTGTGCCAATCTGGCCTCTATTTTCTGGGCCTCAGGCCCTGCCGCACGGGCTCTTTGGGAGGGGGGCTAGGCAGGGAAAGTCAGTGTTCTGTGATGGCACAGGCCCTGCCCCTGACACAGGCTATCCTCCTTAGGTCACCACCCCCTTCCTGTGCTTCACACTAAATCCTAATTTAGGCTTGGTTTCTGATTTTTCTTCTTTCCCTCACCCAAAACCTTGACTCCATCAGCAAGTCCAACACCTGTGACTTCCAGAATGTACCGTGGCTCTTCCTTTTCCTATTGCTGATGCTGAAGCTGCAGGCACAGCCCTTTGTCTCCTCGGATGCCCCCCCACTCACCCTTGTCCACACACTGCCCTGTACCATGATCGGCAGCCCCTTGTCACTGCACCATGCCAGCTGCTGGCCTGGCCTTCCTTGGTGCTGGGACAGTGTGTGCCTCTGCAGCTGGCCCAGCAGGTGAGCTCTGGGGCTTTCTAAAGGCTCATACGCCCAGGGGAGGGCACAGCAGACTGTGGGGAGGACCTGCAACCCCCCTGCCCTGGCAGGGGTGGGGGTGCCTGGCACTTTCTCACGGGGAAGTGCCTAGGGATCCTGAGGCCTTCTGCTCCCAACACGCTACAGGAAACCAGGGCTGGTCCGTCTGCATCAGGGCACAACTTCAACTGTGGGCACAATTTCAAACAAGACAATTGACACTGGAATCTTTATTTGTAAACCTCACACAGACAGGGCCAGAGCTGTGGCCACAGGATAGAGCGACTAAAGGTGGCCTGCGCTTGAGCTCTGCAGTCCCCTAGGCCACTATGGCCAGCCAGTCTCACCAGGGGCAGGACAGGAGGCTGCAGGCCCCATGCTTACCCCAGGGCACAGGATGGTGCCTACAAAAACAAAGGCCTTTGACAAATGAGGGTTTATATTTCTGTAGTTAATTTTAGAGCTTAAATTGTAGTTTTCTAGGATTAAAATGAGTTGGCTTTTGTAATTGCCTGATGAGGTCACAATGTTAATTAAAGGACTTTTGGGAAAATTCTCATTTCTTATCCTTTCTAATATTTGACAGATGCCATTAAGAATAATCATTAAAGTATAAAAATACTATTTGTATATATATAAAATGACAACACTAAACCACATTTTAACGCAAACGTACTGTGTCAGACACACTAGGTTAAGTTAAATGCATTTATAGTCCTGACAGTACCTCCCACTGTTCTAGGAAAAATTATTTTAAATAATTTAAATATAAGTCATGGGTGATATTTATTGTTTAGGAATTTAAGAGGGTGGGACATTCTAGTACTTTACCACATCTGGTTATGGTCTTATGAATATCACTTCCCCTGAAGCCAGCTCATGGTCAGTTCATTTGGTTTTAAAAGGAGCTTGTATTTTGCAGAAGACCAACAAAAAAGTGATCAAAAGTTTTGTTGGTATCAATTACCAAAAAAAATACAAAATAAAGTCATAAGAGTACTAGTAAAAAATTTTGCAATCAATGCCATCACAAAAGACAACAATACAAAAACCAAAGTGCTCGGATTGAAGGAGCAGTAAACTTGCCCAGAACATATAAAAGCTTTAAATAGAGTTTTAGTATATACAAAATTGGTCAGAAGGATTTTAGAAGATTCTCTCCAATTCACATGAAGAATCTTATGGATACTTAGGACCAGGGCTGTCTCCCGATTACCCTAGCAGGGTGGTAATGGCACGAGGCACCCCCCACCCCCTGTGCCGTTTCCCCTTGTCCCCTGGGGCCTCTGAGGCCAGGGTCTCCCCTGAGGACTGTAGATTAGCGGGGGGTCTGCTGTAGGTTTCCCACCACGGTGCCCATTGCCCCAGCAGGCGGGAGGGGTCTCAACCCTGTCACAGGTCCAGAATACAGGCTGAAGCCATGGGTGTCACTACTTCGTGTGCCAACTTGTGAGTGAAGCCTCTTCAGGTTTCAAACCACAGCAGCAGGAGCTGTGTGGTGCTGGGTGACGCTGTGCTCTGCAGGCTAGCTCCGAAGTGCAGGGATGCGTTGGGCCTGAGTCCACAAGGAAGCATCTCGCTGGGCCACAGCCAAGTGCAGAGGCTCATGGAGCTGTACACAGGTTCCCTACCTTTGCCAAGCTGAGGACATGCTTAAAGGAACTTCAGTAGCTGTCACTCCTGCTGATTTGATGCATCTCAGTGGTAAGCCCAGCAGGCCACAGCCCAGGCAGTGGCAGAGAGGGTGCCCAGGAGGATGCTCAGGGTAAGTGGTGGGTCAGAGCTGTATTGAGGCAGGGGCTAGGGTGAGGGTCCTTATTTGCTCACACTCACTGCCACTAGGCTAGCCTTGTCAGAGGGTACTTTCGGAGCCATCTGCCAGGCTGAGGGACATCTAGCTCACGATTCTTTCAACCTCCCCAAGCCTTCTGCCTGACCCTTCTGCCCTGAGTCAAGTAACAAAATGTTGAAAGCCAGACCTTATCCGGGAATGATTTTTGGCCTCTATTCTCTGCAAATTTGCCAAAACCCTCTTGTAGTGCGCTCCCCATGGAGGCCTGGTGGACAGGTGGGTTGTAACTTAAAATGTGTGGCAAAGGAGATTAGGAAATTGCACAAGTCCCCTCTGCAGCTCATGTGACAGTACAAGACAGGGAGGGGGCGACTTCCTCCAGCAAACCAGACATCTTCATTTATAAGGTTAAAATCTATCTTGCAATTTTAACTTTTTCTGATAAAAATTTAAAACAATCTGGCAAATCAAGTTTTGAAGTTTTTCTTGTTGCTTCTGGCCTCTTTCATGTTCAAAAATAATTCTTTTTCTTCAAGTACATCAGGGTAGAAAATGAAATCCAACTTTGCCTCTGTCCAGTGTGCTACCACGGAAGGGGGCACCAGCCCCCACAAGGTTGTCAACTCCGTAATGGCACCTCCACAGGCCCCTGGGACAGTCTTCTGTAAGGACTAGTTCATTTGCTTTCTAAATAAGGGATCTATTGGCTTAAATAAACAAGATGTTCCACTAGACACATTTCTCTATTTATAGCTTAAACTAAAATGTTATCAGTGCTGTCCTTTGTTTTTGAATAGGCTAAAACGTAAAACACCTTAGTATATAAGTTTGTTGACTGCATCTGAAATACTCTAAATGAACACTATGCCTTAACAATTCATCTGCAAGAGGAATAACCAATCTGTAGTTTTGTGAATTAGGGGAAAAGGGGGTACTACAACACCTTCACCCTAAAAAAGGGAGAGGTGAGATGTGCTCTCTAAAGAAACCCTGACCCCCCGTGGCCATGAAGCCTTAGTTTGGTTTTCTACCGGACCTACCAAAGCACAGCCAAATTCTGCTGAGGGCACAGGTTAGAAGATACTAACTAGGCAGGTAAATCATCAGATGGTTAAATCTTTCTCTAAAACTTGGGAAGTTAGAAACAAGTCATGGGAAATTTTCAGAAACAAGCATACATGTGAAGAAGACCTAGCTTAGAGGAAGCCCTTACCTAAGGAGGTGGCCTGCGGGGTCCAAGTGTCCAAAGCTACTCGAGCGTCTACGCCGTGAGGTCAAAGTTCAAGAAACGCTGTCATCCACGATGTTCCTATGTTTCCATTGCATTCAGTTTCTTTCACAAAATAGTATTCAAAAGAGAATGGAAAGTTTTCTCTTTACTCCCAACCATTGTCTTTGATCATGTGAGCAAGCTCAATAATAAATTTTCCTTCTTTATATTTCTGACTGCTCTCGAAGGCATGTTCCTTAAAAAAAAAAAAGTAGATTTAAGGACAGAATCTGTCTCACTTTCAATTTCATTACATTCATGGCAAAAAACCCAATGTCAATGGTATCATCTATGCCCAGATGTTTCCTAAGCCACGGGCTGACCTAGTGCCAAAGGGGATCTGTCCCAGGTGACAAGTTGATCAAGGGAGTGTAGGTTTACTTTGCATTTGTCTTGAAACTTGTAGGGCAATGTTAAGGCAACTCTGTCTACTGAAAAGTAAGGGGCAACTTAGGAGGTATGAAGAGGCAGGAGAGAATGTGCTTCTGGGAATTCTGAGTCAACTAAGACTGAAGGCAAGAACAGGGAGAGCCTGGACCCAGATCAGAGGTGTCTGGGAAGAGGCCCTTTGTGGAGGGAGGGGAAGGGCATATTGAATGTGTGGCATGGTGCTTGGGGCTGGGATGCAGCTGACTGGGAGGAGTCCTGTCCACCAGGTGTGCTGGGTGTGAGAGATGTCCCAGCCGGCAGCAGCAGTATGATGGGGACACCGCACAGTGGCTGAAAAAGGCAGCAAGGCTTCCTGGAGGGAGGCCACCCATGCTGGGGCTGACCAGTGCATTGGCTGGGTGTGGGCAGGCCTCAGGGAGCAGAGGCCTGTGTCCCCTCACAGCTCATGGGAATCTGAGAGATGAGAGATAGCAGGTAGCCTTAACTTGAAGAACATCAAAGCCAGAAATGAGGATGACGTCTTAAAAAAAGGGTCGGTGTGGCATTCAGGAGATGGCCAGGGCACTTCTGCTAGGACAACGCCTGTCAACACCTGCGCACTCCAAACCAGGCAGGCTGTGTGGGCTGCCGGGAGGAGGAGAGAACCGGACCTCCCAGCACCAAGGGCCCTACCCTCCGGGACAAAGATCGAAGTCAGGGTGTGAGGATGAGGTGCAGGAAGGGTAGGAGGGGTGGGCTGGTCAGCTCAGGACGGAAGATCCAGAGGCGGAGAAGCAGAGGTGAAGGTCAGGGCGGGGAGGGGCGGTGACAGCGACCTTCAACTCCAAGTCCTCAAAGAAGGGGGTGGGTCAAGCGCCTGTGGGCGGGCAGTCAGGTCGCCCTGTGTCTCGGACTCCAGCAGGCCCCAAGAGCTCTGGGCAGGCCGGGTACGGTCTGCTGGGCTCACCCCAGGGTTCCGCCTGACCTGGGCAGTGCCGGTGACCAGGGCACAGCGAGCGCGGGCAGCCCTGAGCCAATACCCGTTTCGAACCCACTTCCAAAGCAGCTCGGGGGTCGGCGCCTGTGGCTCAATGAGTAGGTGGTGGGTTCGAACCCGGCCCCGGCCCCGGCCCCGGCCAAAGAGCAACAAAGAAATAGCTGAGCGTTGTGGCGGGCGCCTGTAGTCCCAGCTACTCGGGAGGCTGAGGCAGGAGACTCGCTTGAGCCCAGGAGTTGGAGGTTGCTGTGAGCTGTGACGCCACAGCTCTCTACTGAGGGTGACAAAGTGAGACTCTGTCTAAATAAATAAATAAATAAAGCAACTCGGCTTGGAAATGTGTGTGCTCTGAGTGGGGTCGTCCACCACACGTGGCGGCAGGTCTCACTCATGCGGCTTCTCGAGCGTCCCTTTGCGGCATGTCGCGGTACTGGGGTGAACGGGCTGACCGGCGGGTACTCACGTATTTCCACCCGAGCGTGGTCTTGCAGTTCTCACAGTAGATGTCCGCGACCGCGTGCAGCCCGGTGAGAAGGACTCTCTCCTCGGCAGGGCCGCAGCCCACGTTCACCCTGGGGGACAGAGAAGCCGCCCTGCTGGGAGCCCGGCCTGCGCACCTGGGCGCCCGCGCCACATCCCCGGAAACCGGGCCCCTTCCCGAGGGAGGCGGTGCCCTCTCACCCCCACCCGCCCCTTCCCGCCTCATCCCCCCAGAACCCCGGGTGAGCCAGGGGCGGGGAGCTGCGCCCTCGGGGACTCCTCTGAGTCACTGCAGACCCGGTGGTTCCGGGAAGGAACCCTCCTGCGTCCCAGCTGGGAACCCCTCGCGCGGCTGGCGTGCAGACGCCCTGAGAGCTACTCACACGGAATTGAAGAGGTAGGCTCGTCCCTGACTTCCCTGAAAGGACTGCAAAGAAGAAGGCGGCGTTAGAAGACTGGCTGTTGTCGCGCAAGGGACAGAGAGTTTATGTTCTGGAACGAAAGTGGACAGGGTGTGCTGTGGGCTGCCCGTGGCACGGCGCTGCCAGCTTTGCCTGCTACAGCAACGCCCATTACCCAGCGCAGGAAACTATTTTTGAGCCTAGAGTCTAGACTGAGTCAGCAAGTACTTGATTCTGGCCGCTTCAATGCCAGAATTGTGCCAAGTGGCCATTTTGTAAAAACATGGCAGTCCCCTGCCCCCCCGCCCCCGACTTTTTTGAGACAGTTTCATTCACACTGGGCAGAGTGTAGTGGTGGCATCACAGCTCACAGCAACCTCATATTCCTGGGGTCAAACCACCATGCCCAATCAGTTTTTCTATTTTTAGTTGAGAGGGGGTCTAGCTCTTGCTCAGGCTAGTCTTGAACTCCTGAGCTCAAGCAATCTACCTGCCTAGGCCTCCCAGAGTGCTGGGATTATAGGCATGAGTCACAGTGCCTGACCCAGAATCACTTTTTTATAATAAGGAGCTACATTACTGCTCCATCCCATTAGAAGAGTTCTGATATGGAATTGTGATTTTCTCCACCCAAAAATCTATAGCTCCTCAAAATCCTCTCTTCCCTGCCTTTCTCCAGCAGTCCAGATACATCACTGTTTGCCAGATATCAGGGGGCAAGGCCAAGTTTCCACTCTTCCATTAAAATAGAAATCAAGTTGCAACCCAAGATGTGATTCCTTGCTTGGAGAAAAGGCCCTTCCAGTGACATCTCACCCCCGGAAAATGTCATCAGCTCACAATATACTGACAGATTCTCAGACGTTTGAATGTGGAGGAGCCAGAAGAGGGCATCTGTGCCACCCTTATATACCCAGGTCAGTGCTCACAACCTTCACCCCACAGGCCAGGAGGAAATGCAGATGGAGGGTCTGCCTGCTCTGGTGCCAGTCTCAAATGAACAACATAACATGCTTGGCCTTAAAAATAAGCAAAGAAATGGAAACCCAGTCAAGAACACGTTTTTTTTTTTTGC